CCTCTGGCTCTTCCCAGAATCTAACCTTGCTGGAGGCTGGAGCGGGTTCAGAGAAATGACAGGGAGCAGCAAGAACAGTGCTGTTGGTGGGAGCTCAGTTTTGAGGAAAATCTGCAATGAACTGTCTCACTGTGGGTTCTCTGGAAGAAAGCTGTTTTTAGAGGAACTGGCTCTGCTATTCAGGGAGACCAGTGCACACTTCTCTGAGCTGCTTTGTCTTTGAAAAAAATCTGAAAGAGTCTGCCAGATTGCTTTGCATGAGAGATAGACCTTCCTTCCCCTGAATGTTGGGGAGTGCAGAACCCCTCCCAAGGTTGAAGAGCATCTCTACCAGCTAAGGATTGCACATATAGGGAACAGAGAACCAGACGTGGCGCAAAGCGACGCTAAAGAGCAGGAGAAATCTGGGTTATATAGGTGGCTATGGACATGAGGTGGAATTCTTGATGGTAAAAAGAGAAGTCATGTTCAAATGTCTTTGGGATGATAAATCAGACACTTCCTGTGCATCTTGGGGTGCATGCTACAGTTTCTACTCTCTGCTCCCTCTTTCTCATCTTTCAACCTCCCCCACCTGCTGGTCTTCTCTCATTGATAAGAGGATGAATTTTAACTGCTCAAAAGACTTTTAGGGGCTTCCCTGGTGGCGCAGTGGTTAAGGGTTCGCCTGCCGATGCAGGGGACACGGGTTCGTGCCCCGGTCCGAGAAGATCCCACATGCCGCGGAGCGGCTGGGCCCGTGAGCCATGGCCACTGAGCCTGCGTGTCCGGAGCCTGTGCTCCGCAACGGGAGAGGCCACAGCAGTGAGGGGCCCGCGTACCGCAAAAAAAAAAAAAAAAAAAAAAAAAGACTTTTAGGCCAACACACAGATCCCCAGGCACGAGCTTCGTTGCCTTAAGGAACAAACAGGTTTCCTCTGCAAAGGTCTGTCTTACATGTCACCTCTCCCAGTATCTAACCAGAGAATCTTGCCTCATCTGCTTTAATGCCTCAGCTTTATTTCATCACAGAGGAGAATGAGGCAAGCACAGCAAGAGAAGTTCTAGGCAATCTGTCTGGTGGGTCGTGTGTGCCTGGTCAGCAGGGGCAGCCTTATTTCCATGTCTCCATACATTTGCATGAAGATGTGCTATTGCCAGCCTCAATTCACAAAGCAAGTGTCTAGCCTAATTCTTGAACCTGTTCTCTCAACCATAATCTTCAAAGAACTGACGGAGCTTTATGGAGGGATCTTACGCAGGTAGCTTCAGCTCCCGTGATGTGGTCTCCAACCTTTCTCACCATGCCTAATACAAAAGTGGTGGTAGTAGTAGCCGCAGTTGTAGTAAAATAATACCAATCGCTGCTAACATAGTATGTCCTATGTGCCAGACCCAATACTAAGCATCTGATAGCATATATTCATTTCACTTTCACACAAACCATTAAGACGGTACCACTAGCCTCTGAATTTTTCAGTTGAGTAAACCAAGACTCAGAAATGTTATTTGCCAATGGCTAAAAGGCAGGGCAGAGCTAAAACGTGGGTCTGCCTGAATTCACGGTCTACACTCGTAAGACCGTGCTTGTTGTTTGTGGCTGCTTATTTTTAGAAGTACTCTAGCTAGGTTGGCCATTCCCAGACTTCTAGATTTCATAGGCTAGGTGGTTACAGACCTCTTATTTTGTCGATTAAGGCAATCTCTGTGTGTCCGTTATACATAACATTTATATATAGACTTATATTTATAATTATATAATAATAATGACACATGATTAAACATATATTTATATTACACACACATACTCATCCTTCAGTGGCCATCATTTTATAAAATGAAGAGTATTTTTAACAACGATAACAGAGTAAGGAAGTCTAGAAATTTAAAATAAAGGAACTTCTTGAAATGGAATATTTTTGCTCAATGCAAAAATATCACATTGTTCTTGTTATTCTTTTTTTTTTTTTTTTTTTGCATCTTTTCAAGTGCAGGCAAGAATTGGATTTAACTAAGCAAGAATGATAGAGGGAGAGAGACAAGGGAGCTAATACTTGCAAGGAAGTGATTCCACTGGTAGGTACGCGGGCCCCTCACTGCTGTGGCCTCTCCCGTTGCGGAGCGCAGGCTCCGGACGCGCAGGCTCAGCGGCCATGGCTCACGGGCCCAGCCGCTCCGCGGCACGTGGGATCTTCCCGGACCGGGGCACGAACCCGCGTCCCCTGCATCGGCAGGCGGACTCTCAACCACTGCACCACCAGGGAAGCCCTGTTCTTGTTATTCTTACTTGACCTCATTTAAGGAAAAACTCAGTAATAATCAGACAGCCTTTCAGAAATAACTAGCCTAGCTTGTCAACGTTCCTTTTAAAATTCAATGTCCAGGTGTGAGCCTAATGGCCCAGGTATGGTCTGGCCTCCATGGGTCATATCTCCAGTGGGGACGTCTGTAATTTCTCTCCCCTAGACACCTGAGCTGTGTGCCCCTGAGGCCCAGGCTGGAGGTATAGGGATGCAGAGTGGGAGAGGCGGGTGGGCAGGCCCGAGCTCCTGAATCAGGGCAGGCGTGGGGACGGCTGTGGTCTGAGACCTGGTCAGCGGAAGGTCTGTGGTTGCCAAAGAGAAAAGATAAAAACTGGCAGATGGAAAGGGAAAGGAACAAGGTGGGGCAGAGAAAGAAAGCAAGGTGCTATGGGAATCTGAAGTGAGATGAATGTTGGCAGGAATTCTGTCTTGACACCCTTGTTGGGAGGCCCAGAGTCCTACCCTGGCATGGATGGAGGGCATGGCTCTTGTAATGAGGAGCACAGGGTTAACTGGGTAGAGAAAGAGACCGGGCTGGGGAGGAAGGTGGGAAGACTGTGGGTGCAGAGAGGGAAAGAAGCGGGGGGTGCATCAAGGGAGGGAGAAAAAGAGATGGGGAAACAGTGCAGAAAAGGCAGAGAGGAGGGACAGGTGTAGGGGGAAATGGGGGACGAAGGGCAGGGGGTGGGGATGGGCGGTTCAGGTGTGAGGTCTAAGTGAAGTCCCGGGAAGGAAGGGCTCTCCGAGGCTAGAGCAACGGACCACAAGGAGTGAAGGCGAGTCACAGTAAAGCACAAAGGGAATTCACTCTTGGTTTTTGCTAAAAGAAGACTGACGGCTGAGTGAAGGTGGAGGAAGGTACAGAAGGTGTGGATGTCAGGGCCAAAAGAACACACGTGGCTGACTCGCTGCTGCCTGCGGGAAGGGTGTGGAGGCATGGGTTGTGTCCACTGGGGCTGGGGAAGAACGTTTGAAAGGGAATCAGAGAAAAGCTGACAAAGCAACTGAAGAAAGAAGAAACGAAGGCTCCCCTGTTGTAAGTTATATGTGTCTTCTCATCTCAATCAGGGTGAAACCAAAGTCATTAAAATGATCTGGCCCCTCATTACCCCTGTGACCTCATTCCCTGACACTCTTCCTTGTGTTTCCTCCACTCCAGCCGCACTGGCCTTCTGGTATACCAGGCACGGTCCTACCTCAGGGCCTTTGTGCATGCTCTTCCCTCTATCTGCAATACTCTCTCCTCCAGATACCCACTTGCTTTTTCTCTCACTCACTGCCTTATTTTTCTCCACAGAACCTACCATCTTCTAACATAATATCTAACTCACTTTGTTCTGTTTATTGTTTGTTGCACTGTTCCCTCAACTAGAATGCAAGCACCATAAAGGCAGAAATTTGGTCTATTTTGTTCACTGCTGCTCCCTAAGCACGGAACAATGATTGGACCACAGTGGGCTCACAACAGATGTTTGTTGAATGAATGCATGAACGAATGAATGAAAGGGTCAATGGGTCATCTACTGGAATGCATTGGGAACAGAAGGGCATGCAGAAGAGGAGAAAGAGGAAGGGGGGGAGGGGAAAAGGGAGGAGGAGGAGGAAGGAGGGGGACGGGGAGGGAGAGTAGGGAGAGGAGATGATGCAGCAGAGAGGTGAGGCAAACGTATACAATATCTTTTATTTGGAGGGATTTTATCTAATGATGTTTCTAGTTGGGGGGGGGGTTCCATCTAATCATGTGTTTAATAAAGCCATCTAAAGATGAAGGTAGAAATGAAAACAGTTATTGTCATGTAAAGAGTGACCTTCAGGTCAATGTTCACTGACCCTCTACTCAATCCAGAATGAGACACTGGCCATTTTCTAACATATGAGAGAAGAGTGGACAAGAGGGAGCTACGGGGACAAACAAATTTTACTGGAGTTTTGGATACCTGCGCGCACACATAGACACACACAATCTTGTCTCATTGCCTGAAGGTCTAATCTAGACGACAATAATCTGATTTGAAATGATTAAGAGCTCAGTCTCTTGCTCAGTAATAGTAGCTGTGACATCAGTTCATTATTTGTATACTTTCCGCCTCCACCACCATTTTATAGAAGGCTTGCCCTTCTGTCAAGGGCTATATTAAGTGCTTTACATGCGGTATTTCATTTAGTTTTCACAATGACCCGTTCAGTAATACTATAATTATCACATTACTATAAATGAGAATACTAGAGACGAGGGAGAGCAATTGTTTTGCCCATAATCACAAAACAGCTAGTACATGGTAGAGCCAGGACATAATCCCGGGGTGACTCTAGGGCAGGGACTGGCCAACCTTTACTGCAAAGGGCCAGACAGAAGATATATTAGGCTTGGTGGGCTGTAAGTTCCTTTGTTACAACTATTCAGTAATGCCCTACAAGAACAGCCATAGGCAATACATAAATGAATGGGTGTGGTTGTGTTCCAATAAAACTTTATTTACAAAAATAGGTGGTGGACATACTTGGCCCATGGGCTGTCATTTGCTGACTGTGCTCTAGAATCTATGCTCTTGACCCCTGAGCTATCATACCTGGCAAAGCCTGGAAAGAGAGCAAAGAGATTGCTGAGAGCTTTCAACAATCAGCTCTAACAGTCCAGCATGCCGCCAGCCTGTGGGGGACTGGCTGAGACCAAGAGGCGAACTCGCCAGGGACAGAGGGTGGCAGACAGGCACTTACATTTCAACGATGCCCTCTGGCAAGTTGGCGGGGATCTCCATCAAGCCCTTCCCTCGACAGTCCACGATGTTATTACTGCAAGTGCAGGCTGAAGGGCAGGAGATGGAGTTGGCACTGCAGGATGGAGGCTCTGAGTGCGGGCCTGTGGGACCAGAACACAATGGTCAATTCATGTCAGTGTCAGCAGCCGCCTGGGCTTCTGTGTCTCTTAACCAGCTTCCCAAGGAGGCAGCATTACCTGATCAGCTACCTGAAAAATCATCACCAGCTAACATCGGCCCTCAGCTGGGAGACACAGCTGCCGCTGGCTAAACATTCAGCCAAGAGGAGAGAGTCTACCCTTGACCTGACCATTTCTAGATTGTTCCACTTGCTCTGTCATCCCCTCATCCTTAGTCTTTCAGAGACAGAGTTGCTCTCAGAATCAATCACACATGAAAATATGCCACTGGTGTGCAAAGAGCATACACTGGGACTACTTTTTCAGGGAGTCCAATGTCTGAATGACATTCCAGGGTTTTGGGCTTTTATCTGGGGCTTGGATACCACATGTAGACACACCTTCGTTTCTTTCTCAAGTGGCTGGAAATCACTATCAAAACCAAGTGGGAAGAGAAAAGGTGACAGAATTTCCTCACTTGGGGTACTGATGTTGTCCAAGTGTCAGGAGAGCCATCAACAGCGACATCCAAGGCCTTTTCAAACAGCTTTTATGACCAAAGAACATGCAAATAAAACTTATCTCATTAGAAAAAAAGTGAATAAGTTACTACATATTTTGGAGTCTTAGTTTTTGTTTGTTTGTTTGTTTGTTTGTTTTTGTTTGTTCGTGATACGCGGCCCTCTCACCGCCGTGGCCTCTCCCGTTGTGGAGCACAGGCTCCGGACGCGCAGGCTCAGCGGCCATGGCTCACGGGCGCAGCCGCTCCGCGGCATGTGGGATCTTCCCGGACCCGTGTCCCCTGCATCAGCAGGCGGACTCTCAACCACTGCGCCACCAGGGAAGCCCGGAGTCGTAGTTTTGTTTGAGGTGAGAACCCATATGAATTTATCACAAAGTGGTAAAAAACCCAAGAAAATGGCAAGGAAGGAGCTTATTTAGAAAGCCGAATGAAGATAAACATATTAGCAAACTAACTCAAGATTCAAAGAGTCATAAGAATCTTAATCACTTTCTGTGGTGGTCACACCAAATTGCTAACAGAAGTAAATTCAAACATTTTAAAGACACTGTATAAGTTTTCATGCTATGTCTGTTTCTTCAAAGTAAGGTAAGAATCGCAAACCTGTGGTTCGTCTTTCAACTGTGGACACTGTGGTCCAAAAGGTAAACTCAACCCAATGGCCTTCTCAGGAGCTTATCCCATTCCTGGGGATCCAGACAGCAGGGATGATTTCAATGTCTTTCCAGATCCACCTCCCTGAGCAAAGGGCCATGGGCTGAGACCAAACTCAGACTAACTCTGCAAACATCCTCACTGCTCAGACATGGACCGTCTGGCTGGGGGCTCTTGGAGAGAGATTAAATGTGAAACATGGAAAATTTCTGTAGGCAAAGATGATATTGGTTTGGCCCCTGTTCACCGGAGAGGCTGAGGCTGGGAAGCCAGAGCGAGTCTAGCTACAGTGGTAGAATCAGAGGACTGACCGGGCCTGGGGCAAGCCCTCGTTTGGACAGTGAGTGAGCCTTAAAGCAGAGGCTCCCCTCTCCACATTTAACAGTCCCTATACTTGGGGGTGGTCCTTCTGCAAGAGTCAAATCGATGCCTATGGCTTAATTTGCAACATTTACTTTGCCAGAAAGTGCAACCCAGTGGCCAAAGATTCTTACTTCCCTTGGCCTCACTTTCACACACACACTCTCTCTCTCTCTCTCTCTCTCTCTCACACACACACACACACAATTTAAAAACATCCCCTTAAGTGGAACATTCGAGCAAATATTCTTGTCTAGGGTACAAGGACTTCAAACTCTCCAGTGTCACACTAGTGGATCTAACAGAGACCATGGAAAATGCCAGAGAGATGACAACTTACATTAAAATTCCCAAGTGGAACATTCTCTGAGAGAGAGGTGGTGCTGGCTTTGTTCCAAACTGGGAAAGTCTTTACATTTCTGAGAAAATGACAACCCCAGAGAGCCAGACTGTAAGAACCTCAGATCAGGAATGAGACTGTTGTGGCCAAGAGTGTGGGCTCTGGAGTCCCACTGGCTCAATTTGAACCCTGGTTCTATCTTACCATCCTTATGTCCCTGTGCCTCAGTTTTCCCTACCTGTAAAATGGGGGAAACAACAATACTTACTTCATAGCATGGCTTTATTGCTAAGGCAAAGGAAATTAATGCATGTAAAATATCAATATTTAGAAGGGGCACTGGCAAAGAGTTAGCGCTTAGTCGTGTTATTTGTTATTGTTTTTGTTGTTATTATTATTATCATTATTTTTTGGCTGCACCATGCAGAACACAGAACTTCCCAGACCAGGGATCGAACCCTCACCCCCTGTGGTGGAAGCATGGAGCCTTAACCACTGGACCACCAGGGAAGTCCTGTTGTTGTTATTATTAATAATGGGTCTGGCTCTGCCACGAACTGTCTACAAGACCTCAGACAAGTCACAGCACCCCCTGACCCCGAGTTTTACTGCTGCCATCTTGGTGAAGTTTGGACTGCATGAGTTCTGAAGTCCTTTCTGGGTCTAGAGATCGACTGCTGTTCTTCAGAAAAATGGAAGCAGGAGGATCAGAAGACACCTAAAAGCTTTCCCTCCTCTGCTGCATCTCTTTGCAGGTGGCAAAGAGGATCTACAGTGGGCAGGGCTCGCGTTCCCTCACCTGCATCCTCCCAAGGAGGCTGGGAGCGCCAGGACTGCAGGCGTCAGGGCTTTTGAAGTGTAGATGGTGCTCCCCAAAGGAAACTGCCATGCCTGGCCCTGCATATCAAGGGGCTCCGGTGCCTGACCAGCCAGGGAGACACGCCACATCCCACACCTTCCTGGATGGGAAGCATCAGGGGCTCCATGGAGCCCTGAGCCTGAGCACTTGTCTTTCCATCCACTGAGGCACAGGGTATCGAAGGCCATCCCTCTTTTGATCTGTCAAAATATTACTTAGTGGGGTGTGTCAGAAAAGAGCGGAAGAAAGGCATTATGTTTTAGGGCTCACATGGGCAACAGGAAGTTCTGAAATGGAGTTTCTTCAAAGGTGCCCCTTCTGACTTCTGTGCTGAAATGAATTCTGTTTCAACCGGACCCAGGCTGCAGCCTTGAGTCCCTCTGGGAACGAGCTGTGTCTTTCACAGGGTGGCTCTGATTTGGAAGAAAGGGTGTGCTACATTGCAAAGGATGTTGTCAAGGCCAAAAAGGATTTGAAAAGCTTCCTTAACCAGGTCACTAACGACACCTTTTATTACGCAGAGAGAAACAACGGTAATTATAGTCTCTGTCAGCATCCCGGGCTGGCAGCTCCCCAGCTAGGTATTCACACGTGGCAAGGATGCTACTCTCTGGTTGAACCAAAACACTTCAGGTCTAAGCCGGGGTTGAAAGATGAGTTTGCCTGCCCTGGCAACATTCCCCCTTAATCAATGCTGGAGGGACCAAGCCTATTTCCCTCTGGGTCTCTGAGTCCTGTGTGGCGGGAGTCCTTCCCCCTTGCTTTCTGTCTCTGGTCAGAGTGAGACTAGCATGTAAGTTCTACAAGGTCAGTGACCTTTTCTGTCTTATTCATTATTATATCCTCAGTGCCTAAAAGAGGGCCTGGCACAAAACACTCAATAAACACACCTTGGGTGAGTGAGAGGATGAATACATGAATGAAATTGCCCCAGAAGCCTTAGAGACATGGGGACTGAATGCCACCAAGCTACGGAGGTGAACGATTCTTCAGGAAGGACCGTGAGGGGAGGCGCCCTGAGTTCTGAGTGCCCTGGGCACTGGTCCATAGCATCAGCCTCAGAGTGGGGAAACGGAGTGGCAATGGGTAGACAGGACTCTCATGCCTGAAGCTCAGGTCTTTCTATCACAGCAAAGGCCATCTGTCCCGTCCCCTGAGGCCCCCTCTGAGCCTAGCTCACCTGCGCAGGTCAGGTGTCCTAGGTCCTCTGTCGACCTGTGTCAGCAAATCCATCCCTCCCAGCCTTTCCTGTCCACACACATTGAGGCTAAAGAGAGTGATGCAGGAGACAGTAGATTCCCAAGGGGGACAAAGAGAGGAAACACCTACCTTTCTACCCAGAAAATTCTATGACTACAAGCTAGGAAGAGGAGAGGAACGCGAGCAGAGTTTTTATATTGGGGTAGAAGGAGTCTGTGCGTCTCCTTGATGGAAAGGGTCTCTCTAGGTGTGTGTGTGCCTGCCTGCATGCACGTGTGTGTCCCGGTTGTATGACGTGTTCTCAGGGCGCCTAGGAATCCTCATGGTCCTCGAGGGAGCCGGCCGACTGGTACCACTGCCTCTTCTCCCTGGCACAGCAAGGGCCTGAAATCAGAGCGCACTGATGAACCAGCAGGCAGACCCCCCGTCAGGTACTCTCCAAGACGTTCTCTTATAAACTTAGGAGTGCATGCGGACTTGTTCTTCCTTTCTTCATTTTAAAACAAGTGCCCAGGGGCCTCCCTGGTGGCGCAGTGGTTGGGGGTCCGCCTGCCGACGCAGGGGACGCGGGTTCGTGCCCCGGTCCGGGAGGATCCCACATGCCGCGGAGCGGCTGGGCCCGTGAGCCATGGCCGCTGAGCCTGCGCGTCCGGAGCCTGTGCTCCGCAACGGGAGAGGCCACAGCAGTGAGGGGCCCGCGTACCGCAAAATAAATAAATAAATAAATAAAGTGCGTGCCCAGGTTCTCTGCTCTCGGAACTCTTCCAGTCCCAGTGCTAAAATGCTACTGCCCTGGGGTGGAAGGATGTCCTGATCAGAGTAGGGAGATGGGGATGTGGGCCGAGTACCTGTCTCTCTTCTGGGGGCCCATCTCACCTTTCCTTAGTCACTGCAGCTCTGGAATTTCAATCTGGAGCCAAAGCCACCTCTGTGCCAAATAAGGAGGAAGCTGAGATGCCCGGCCTCCCTTCAGATGTCTCCTAAGACTCCCTGGACTGTGGCCTGATGTCTGGAGAGAGGGCAGAGCAGAGCTCGGGGGGAACGGAGGTGCTGGCCCTTCCCGCTCTTACTGGTCATCAAGGGAGCTGCTTCCCAGCCCAGGGGGCTGTCAACGAGCGAGAGGGCAGGAACGCGTTCCCAGCTAGACCTCTCACAGGGCAAGTGCATGTGGTCACCGGCATGGACCCTGTACCAATTATCCTCCCTCTGCTGACTGCACAATTCTCCCTCCGGGTCTGAGAAAGAAGAAAGATGGAGAGGTGACCGGGGATATGACTCCTGCCCAGCTCTGACCCCATCTTTGTTCTTCTGCTCATTGGCAAATGGGAATGATCATCACCCTGAAAGCCAAAGGCTCTAACTTGTCTGCCCAGATGAGTGGGGCAGAGGTCACCGAGCTCCAGACCCAGAGAGGGCCATGGAGATGGTGGGGAAACAGAAGCCCTGAGAGAGGAGTGTACCTGCCCGTGGACACAGTCGTGGCCAATCTAATAATGACCATCATTCTCATAACAGTAGCTAACGTTTATAGGATGTTTCCTATGCACTGCATTGAGTGCATTGTATATATCACCTCATTTGATCCTCATAAAACCCCTGTCGTAGATCCATTATTATTATTTCCATAATAGAAGGGCTCTGCTACCATCTCCTCTGCCAAAAAGACACCCACCATATGCCTCTCTATTGCCATGAAGTGGAAAACCGTCAAAGCCTTGGAATCTCAGGAGGCAGGATAGGAGGCTCAGGGGTGAGACGTGTATTGTGTCAGCTACCCTGGAGATGGCTGGACACTCCTGAGTTAGAGCTGTTGCTTCTTTCTGTCTTTAAAGAGAACTTCACCCAGTAGAGTGTGGAGAGTTGGAAAATCGACTGGCCTCGTGAGTGCATGGAAATAAATTAATTCCCGTATTCAAATTAAGCATCCCTGTTGGCCTCTGGTCTTTCAAAAGCCAACAACAGACTGCAATGACAATGGGACTTGAGCAATTATGATGAGAATATAAATGAACGTGATTTAAATACCAGAGGCATGATAATTTGGAGAATGGCTAAATAAACCTAATAATCTCATTCCTGCAATGTCCAATTATGGTGTTTTAATTAAAACCTCCTAAGGAAATGGGTGGCTAGTCATGGCTCACCTTAATTAACTTTATACCTAGTAACTAGTCTCAAAGTAAAAAAAAAAAAAAAAAGAAGTAGGAGGGGAAAGTTTCTTGTTTCCAAGGAGATACACCTATTTCATTTTTAATAATAACTGAGGAAGAGTTTGTTGAGAGGCTCTTAGGATCCAGCAGTATTCCAGGTATTGGGGCACTGGAAAAAAATGTAAGACATGGCCCCTTATTACTAGAAGAAAAGATTAATCTTCACGAAAATATATCTCACATTCAAAGGCAAAGGACAGATACATGTGAAATGGGTGGACAAACCAATGGGTTCAAAGGTATTCAGAGGAAAGAGATAACTGTCTCAAGAGGTCAAATATTTAGCTACTACCCTTGAATTACAAATTGTAACTGGCAGAAACTTTCTCAGATTAAGGGATCAGAAAATTGACACATGGAAGACAAATCCCAGAGTTTAAACTCCAAAATAAGCCCTTTAGCTAAGGATGGAAAAAAAATTCAACTTGCAACTCACGTGAGCCTAATCATGGCCAAAGCAGAACCTTTTCTCCAATCTGCTGTATGAACTCATAAAGTCCACTGAGGGACTCTTCTAGTCCTAGGGCCCTAACTTCCTCTTAAAACAAGGAAAATTAACAGAGAAATCCTTTCAGCAAGAGCTAAAGGAAACCAAGCAGTCCTGTTGCATATCATAGAAAACTGTTAATAATAAATAAAATAAGAGTCTCCCACCCTTGTGAAAAATGCCCAGCTGTCTCCCCAGGAGAGGAAAATAAATGCCCCCGATGGAAGGGGACTGTTGACAGAGGGGATGAATTTTGCCAGAGTGCGCCACTAGCAAATTTCCGGGTTAGCTGCGGTGATAAGGAACCAGTAGCCCGGACTTCTGGGGAGAAGAGGCTGGGCTCCAGACAGCCGGATTTAATTCAAAGGCAGATATCAGGAACTTGGGCAGGCAGGGCCCTCACAGGCTGAGAGAGATAAAGCTCTTTCCTGTCTCTGGAGTCATGCGTTGGGTGAATTTTCCGATACCGTGTAGGGGCGCAGGGAGGTTTCTCTAAGGCTGCCTCAACGGGGGCCACTGGTGATGAATACGCATAGGGATGGTTTAATTGCTGCCCCATGCCTTTCTTTCTCCTGAGCAGACAACTTCTATTTTTTTAAGAGATGCCCATGTTCCTCCTTTCTTGACTGAAGTCCTCCTCCTGCGGGTTATGGGAGGAATAGCTTGGATGAGGAGGGACCCTGGTGTTTTTGCAGCTTTAAACAATGGCCATCAGGTCTGTCCCAAACCACCTCATTCGGATGCCCCGCTGGGCTCTGCCGTGGGGCGGGGCCTGCACCCTCAGAGGTGGGCTGCATCTCATGGTAGGGGGGTTGGTCAGTACATGAAAATAGCCCATTTCTTTGACCTCCTGTGCACGCACAGGCTGCCTTGCTCCACGCTGCTTCCTCTGGCATCCTTTTATCACAGCCTCACCACCTACCTTGAACAAATCATGAAAGATGTAGTACTTTTGGGAGGGGGTGCTCCTCCTGAACCCCACTAATGAGGGCGGTTGTTCATTCGTTACAGATGTTCAATTCACCAGTTCTCCCCGCCATTGTACCTGACTTACTTTTCAGAACGTTGCCCTGCACAGCATCCTATTTTGAAGGCTTGAGAGCCTGGGAAAAGCATCTAAAAAATTCCCCCCCACACAGGGGCCCTAATATGTCACTCCCCTAAATTCATACTACTAGTGAGAGGGTGGAGATTAATAGCATATTCATGTCTGCAGTCTGTGGATTAAATTCTCGTGTCCTTAAAAGACACCTGGCCTCGTATGAATAAGTTACAGCCCATCACTAGCAATGGACTTTGATTGCTATAAACAGGGGATATGATAAAGGTCACAGTCACCTATGTAACTATTAACCCACACGTGAGATCCAGTTTCTTCAGAGGAGGGAGACCTGGGGCAGTAACATTTCCAGGACCCAGGAGGATCAGCCTCCCGGCCCTGGGTTTTGAGTCCTGACTGCTGCTGGGTAAGCAATGTCTCGGCACTCCCTTGATGGGAAGATGCTTTCGTGACGAAGCACCTTCGTGTTGGTATTCGTGTTGGTGCGCAGCTTTAAACTTGGTACCCACCCATAATGATGTGTTTTAACCTCCTCCCTAATTAGTTTTTCTCAATAGCTTTTGGATGACTCCTGCACTCTATAATTATTTATTTCACTGGCACTTGTGCCGATATTGTACCCTTTTCCTAATAATTACTGTAATTACAGTCACTATATTTGAGTTGGATGTCTGTGTGATAAACGGTTTTATTATGTGTTTGATGGAAAGTGATTTCTAAGTGGGCGTCTATAGCAAATTGTTGAGGTACTGCTCTGAAACATGTTAAAATGTTTTTGGGTATTAAATGACTTGATAAAGTAGTAACATGACAGGAGAAAGCAGCAGATCAGCCTTTAGAAGCCACTGGGTCCCAATTCCAGGACTGAGTTCCTGGATCTCAGGAATGCATCTTTGGGGAACTCCTTAACTGAATACTCTTTTTTTTGGGGGGGAAATCAAGAGATTAGCTTACTTCCTTGCCACCAGAAAAGGGAAGAATCGATGGGATTGGGCAATGTCAATGAAAAGTAAAAACAAACAAGCAAACAACATTTAGGACCCAAGGCAAAGGCGACATCCTCTGGGAAGCTTTTCTCAGGTCACTCAGCCACCTCCCATCCTGGAGAGATGAGCTGCCTTCAGTCATGTGCAAGCACAGCTCTGTTTTCTGTACTACATGGGCACCTGTGCTTCTATTACAGTTCGATTACCCACAGATCAAGCTCTCGTGTTTGCTCAGCATTTTGTGGGCCCACTAAACTATAATGATTAAGCTCCACTCATTAGCTCTTACCAAGGGCTGTGTATTATGCTAAGTGCTCTATATGCATTATTTCATTTAATCCTCCCACCCATCCCTGGAGTTATGGACTACGATTTTTTCTATTTTGCAGACATGCAGTAACTTACCAAAGTCACACACCATTAAGGGACAGAGCTAAGATTTCCAGCCAAGCAGGCTGACCGCATAGCCTCTATTAGCCTGACTCTCAATTTCTAGGAGCAAATGGGCGATAGGAACGGGTTTGGCCAATGCTAAAGTACCTAACGGACTCTGAGGCTTAACAGGAAGTGATTCATGAGTTCCTTGAGCATCTTCCTTTACCAGATGGCAAGAGCTTCTTTTCTGGAACACCTGGAGGCACCTTAGAGTTCTTTAAGTGACTGGCGAATGCTGGGGCAACCTGCGAGCCTCCACACCGAGCTCTGGGCTGGGGTGTGTGTTCAAGGCCAAGGTGATGTTAAGGAGAGCTCACAGGTGGGTGAGTCACAGGACAGGAGGGGAGGGGAGGGGTGGGGTCACCTCACCTGGGCACACGTACTCCTTTTTCTGCACGTCCGCCACGTTGAAGCCCCTCAGGTGCACAGGAGCCATGCAGAGAGTGAACTGGCCAATGGTCCGCCGCTGTCGCAGCCAATCCGAGAGCCAGGCCAGGTGACAGTCGCAGTGCAGGTGGTTGGAGTGGAGGCGCCTGGGAGAGGGAGGGACAGAGGGAAGATGCCGTCACAGCAGGAAGTGGGGAGGGTGCCACTGTCTGAATAGAGTGGGCTGAACCTCCGTGGCCTTTGCCCAGCGTGACAGTCCTTGGGAGCCCAGGGGAACACTGTCCTCTGCACCGCGGAATCACCACAGGAGCCTCAACCCTGTTATTGCCAAGCCACAAATGACAGTCATCTCGTGTCAGCCACATCCAATGGAGGCCTCCAGGCTTCTGAGCAATTCCCATGTTTAAATAGTAATTCCACCCTTTTCTTCCCCACTCAGGAAAGGCTCAACACATAGAAGAGGGAGGGTGGCATTATCACAGCGATGAGATCCTGATTCAGGTCAAACTTCCGAAAGCGTGACTCAGGTGTAGCTTTCCGTACTCTAGCTAGCCCTGGTTACAGATGCTTTACAACAGCTTCTTAATCTCCACGCTCCAGTCTGTGGTGAACTGTGGCCGAGATCTGCTGTGGTCTTTTCTCTCCTTCCTTCGTTTTCTCTCTAAGTGTCCCTTTAATGGACCCCCTGTGTGTCATGCTGGTGAGCCTAAAACCAATACCGCTGTGTGCACTAGCCAGGGTAAGCAGGGAACAGAGGGAAGGGTACTTTCTGAAGGATGCACCTTCTCTTCATCCTCCTATTTAAATAAGGTGTTTACAGACTCTTGTAATCCACAGCACTTTCTCCAGAGTGCCCTTTCATAGCCTTCCCAAGTTCAAGTCCACCTGGTGTATTTGCTATTCTGACTGGTTCGGTGCCTCTGAAAAGGCTTTTTATCCACCTTCAGGACTCTTGGGCTTTCTCCCTCTAGTAGCTGTGGTTCCAGATCAGCTTCTCACCCTGGAGTGAATAAGATTCCTGAGAGGGATCTTCAGGTTCCGCGTCTGAGGGGAGCCTCATCTGGTTTAGCTGAATTTCCTTTCCACTGTCTGGGGGGCAACCTAAGGATACCCAGGGGATCCTAAAGGTTCTTCCCCAGGGTTTCTGCATCAGGGGATTCCAACTTCCACAGTCCCTACAAACTTAGATCATTAGCAGTGGCGGTAGGTGAGTTTTAGTCACGACAGCTTATCATATACTTGGCTTTCTGATGCAAATTTCAACTGGCCCATCCTGCACCTGCTCATCAGCCAGCAATATCTTGGGACTTTCAAGTACTCTGTGTCATGCCAGTAAATACTGAGTGGCAGACCGAAGCAGTGGCTCAGGCTACATCCATGTCTGAAATGGAGACAGCTGAAGGGCTCCTGACCACACTCCACTTAGTGTAAGGTCCACATTGCTAAACATTGGCCAAGTGTAGCTCATCTGCGCTGCCTGCCGGCAGAGTCTCCCTGGCCCTGCACGGGTGCAAACCTCGGGCAGGCCAGGGCCACCAGGGGCCTTGGCAGACTCAGGGTGGGGGTCTCAGATCCCATAACATCAGACTGACTAAACGAACCCATATCCCACCTAGAATGTCATTTTTTTCCCCTGAAAAATATTTGAAAAGATTTTTTACGATTTTGTTGAAATATGATTAATTTGGATGTTATAATTTTCTTTTTGTATTTCAGAGCCAATACTTAAAAGTCAAAGACAACTGCATATACCCCCAGGACCAAGATACTGCGCCTGTAATGGGCCCCAAGCAATGCTCGCCTCTGAACATCAAAGCTCAGGCCCCGATGCTGTGGAAACGAGCCTGGCTCCCTCTTAGTCTGGCACTCCAGGAAGAGGTATGACAGGTGGGAAGGGGGAGGGAAGGCAAAATCCTAACCTGGAGGGAAGGACCTCAGTTCTAAGAAGGAAGGCAAGACCTCTGTGTGTTCAACAAAGATGACCACTTTGTGCCAAGGACGGAGGGGGGCTTGGTGTTGGACTTGGGGCAGGTTACTCTTTCC